TATATATTTGTATATTAATTCAAAAGATTTTAAAGGCTACAGTTGAATCCAGAGCTTTTTCTTTTGGGACTAGCGGCCAGGCTATTAGGGAAAAAAAAAGTCCTGGCACTTTGTTTTTGTGTGTAACAACTGCAGCAAGACTATCATGTGTTCAAAAATGGAAAGGTGCCGCAGACCCACAACAGAGGAACAAATGGCGAAGATTACGGAAGTTGCAGAATTGGATAAATTAAACTCTTTGAGAAAAAAAAACGGGGGGGGGGAGAGAAACAATATCTACAATTATGGTCAACTGGAAATCCCTTACAGGCTTTTTGCAAGAGACTGGGAAAAAATGCACTTGCAATTTGTGGCTTTGATTATTAGGAGGGAAAAAAGGATAATCGAAAAAAGTGAGCTCTTTTATAATCATATATTTTTTGTAATTGTACTTATATTTGCCACAAAAGAAATCGGAAGCTTCTTTGTATTTTTTTTTTATTATTAATATTCTTTCTGTTGGCGCTTTCGGGTTGTTGTTTTTCTTTCCACTCCGTATTGTTTGATGTTTGTTTTTGCCTTCTCTGTAAAATGTTTAATAAAATTTAGTTTCAAAAAATTAAATTGCTGGCCATACCCACTATCCTTGGTGCTGCCTCTAGATGAGTTGGGCATTGGAAGGAAGGAAGGAAGGAAGGAGGGGAGGAAGGAAGAATGGAAAGAGGGGAAGAAGAAAAGGAAGTGGAGGGAGGGAAAGAAGGAAGGAAGGAAGTAGAGGGAAGGAAGAAAAGGCAGGAAGGAAGTGGGAGAGAAAGAAGAAAGGAAGTAGAGGGAAGGAAGGAAATATATATACAGAGAGAAAGATGATAAATAGAGAGATAGATACATAACATACATAATGGATAAGGATGGATGGATAGATGGTAGATAGATTTAGATATAAGATAATGGATAGATGGATGATAGATTAGATAGATCAGTGGTTCTCAACCTGTGGGTTGGGACCCCATTTGGGGTCGATCGACCATTTCATGGGGGTCACCAAGCAAGGCTGTCCGCCATTTTTTTTTGTCCGCCATTTTTTTTGTCCGCCATTTTTTCCCCCCCTTTTCCGGCGGGTGCCTTACCTCCCTTGGGCTGGGCCAGCTGGTGGTCGGCCTGCTCCATCTCTGCCACTTGCCAGCTACGCCTCGGCCGGCGCAGGGGGCGGAACCACGCATGTGCGGCGCTCCCGGGCAGGGAAAGTCCTCGACTTACGACCGGTTGGGTAGTCCTTGACTTACGACCGGTTTAGTCCTCGACTTACGACCGGTTTAGCCCTCGACTTACGACCAGTTTAGTCCTCGACTTATGACCGGTTGGGGTCGTGGCATTAAAAAGGTTGAGAACCACTGAGATAGATGGATGGATGGATAGTGGATAGATTGGATGGATAGATGATAGGCAGGGAGGCAGGCAGGCAGATCTTGGGCATCTCCCTCAGATGCTAACTAGGCCTCAGTTGGAGAGAGGAATTGCTGGGATTTCTGAGAAAGCTTAAAGATCCTCTCCATATTTTAGCATATTTTATCCCCTCCACGGGAATCCTTCTGAAGCTGTCACTGCAGAGTCAGTTAGCTGTCAAGTATGAAGTTACCCAAAAGACAGCCAGTCCCTGAGGCTGCTCAGAGGATCTTGAGGCTTGTGTGTGTGTGTGTCTGTCTGCTTGTCTAGGGCCTTCAGGTGGGGAAGGTGACTCCAAGAGGGATGCTCCAGATTGCCAGTTGCCGATTTGGTCCTTCCTGTTTTTATCCTTCTAAGCCTTTAATTGGGGGGCTGTAAGTGCTGCCTGATTGCTGAGCGCCTGAACTCTGGCCGTGGGGGGGGG